TATTAATTTAAAGTTTTACATGTTTTCACGGGTAAAATATCCCAAAGCTTACTTATTTCATCTATATTTTTTATTGATGGATTCTTCAGCATGGTTTCTACTTCTGGGACTTTCCAAATATAAACTCTGAAATCATCACTAAATAAAAGAATAATTTTAATAAGATCGAAATAATCTATATATATATATCTCAATTAATAGACTATACCTTCCACAAAGGAAATATTCTCCATTTGGACCACCAAAATGTCCTTGCTATAAAATTATAAGTTGAAATTTTAATTTTAATTTTGAAAATATTAAAGATATTATGGATAAGTCTTACTTTATAAGTGCAACAATTTTTGTATCCAGTTTGTGTATCTGAATCGTAATATGATGAAAAAATACATAAAGGTTTTTCATCACAAACATTATATAGTGTTGGATAATAACGGTTTATAGTGGCACACAACATATTTCCAGAAGGATTAAATGTCACTGAAGATATATCAGGTTTAGCGTTTTTAGAACTACGCGATAATGTCGTATAATACTATTTAAAGTAAACGATTTTAAAGTAAATATTTAATGAATGATAAAATGGTTTTTAAAAACCTTTTTTTACCTTCATTAAATAATCTTCTGAATATGTTGTTAAAAGAGAATCTCTGGAATTAAAAGCCATTCTAGTATCTCTCAATCTAAAACAATAAAATATTATTAATTTAAAGAAGTTAAATAAAAATAAAGTTTTTTTTTATAACTTAACTTACACTACATCGCCAATGCCATCGCTAGTAATGAATTGATTTTCAACTGTAGGATTGTATTGAGCGTGTGTCATATTCGCTAAACTTCGGATCTCTCCTTGACATTGGTCAACTCTACAACGTATATCCCATAGTTTCACCGTACCTATTTAACGTAAAAAAAAATTTAGTAAATTTAATTAAAAACTCTATTTAACATAGTAAAGTTAACATACCATCTTGACTATAAAATAAATTAAAAATTAAATTAGTAAACGGAACCAAGAAACTTAATTGAAATAGTTAATTAATATACCTTGCCGACAAGAATAAATGATCATTAAATGGATCAAATGCAACTGATTGTACGGCATCTTTATGTCCAGTAAATGTATCTGGCACGTGAAACTCGCTTTCTTTAATGTTGAAAAGACTTTTTTATTAAAATAATACTTTAAATAAAAATGAAAATAATTAATATAAACATTTTCAATACCATGTTCCAAATCATGATAAATGATTAATTTATCATTTCCACAGCTTATAAAATAAAATCAAATCAATGAGCAAAGTAATTAAAAATTAATTACTAAACAAAAAAAAACACGACTTACGATAAAACATGGCGATTTGTTGAATCAAAAATTGTACAAAATATATTACTCTAAAAGAATTTATTTTAAAAAATATATATATATTATTAATGAAATAAATGTTAAGAATTTGATCTTTAATTAATTACGTACCGTATGACCCTTGAAACATTTCTTTGGTTTAGTTTTCTCAATGTCACCACATACATTCCAAATCAGCACACGTTTATCTGTAAGATTGATATTAAAGTTGAATAATTTTCTTTGAATAATTTAATAAGAAAATACTTACCGTCACCACCAGACGCTAACATATGTGCCTCGCCATTACTAAAACTATTAATTAAATTTAAAATAAGGAAAAAATTCATGTAAGAAAAAAAATTGGGCATTAATAATTTCAGTCCTTACTTTATTGCATTAACGCACGAGAAATGACCTTTCAAATCTCTAAATATTGAAAGGATAAGAAACGCTTAATACAAAAAAATAAAATAAAAATTTCACGAAACTACAACAAAAATACTGATATTCTTACCGTGAATAAACGAAAGCTCCTCCAATATTATTAATTGCAGCATGATACAAATCCCTTTTTGTTTTAGGTTGTATTACACCTAAAGTACTTTTCTCGAGTAAAGAAATAAATTCTTTTGTTCTCGAACGATTTTTAGTACGTGATTTAACAATACTCATTATTGCTATTTGAAATAAGGAGGAAGATATCCAGGTAAGAACCAGTGAGTAGAAAACAAAAGACGGTTTGTCGTCATGATATGCAAATGAATTTTTTCTAAATTAAGATTATATGATCGACTTTTTGGTCGGTCGGAATTGGGTTTTTGGCAGATCGTCATAATTTTTCCGAAACTTTTATGCGTTTAGCATTTCCTCAACATGTGGTATGAGGTCGTTTTTTCCTTTTGTGATGATCTCAATGTAATCTAAACAATTATAGACGATTATATCGTGTTCGTATCACTTGCATACTTTGATCAGAAATTTTATTTTTGTCAACTAGAATACTTTTTTAATTAACTGTTTTAAACTTGAACGTATATTATATATATTCGTTATATTTTAATATAAATAAATATAAATAAGCATAAAACTATCAAAATTATTTAATTATAATAATAAATTTACTAAAATAAATATATTATATTTAATAGTTAATAAATAATAGTAATTATTTAATTAATTAATATTACTTTTATTATAAAAATTTATAATAAACTATTATTAAAAATTTAAAAGAAAAATAGCAATTTCTATTTATATACAGAATGTTTAAACACATAAGAGAATAATAAATAACATTTTTAATATAAAAAATTTCTTAAATTCTCGTATATTAATAAATAATAATGCGTAACGTGATATAATAAATAGTAACCTAATTTTATAACTAATCTTAAATTAATC